AATCTGTTTTGTACAGTAAGGAATTTTTGAAATACAAAAACATCAATAGAAAAATGGACAACAATTCATAATTTACAAATGAATAGGGTCCTAGATTTAAAAAATGACCTTAATTATTAAGTATGAAGTACAGAGACATAGATTAGGTAACAGAGGTCATCTCTGGGCTGGGAGCTGCAGATCATCTTTTTCCTCTGTGTATATTTGAATTTAAATTTTTTATACAATGGATATGTACCATTTTGGCAATCAGTTATTAAGAACTAAGTTCAGAATGTCATGGAAAATGTGAAATACAGAAATAGTCTTCTCCCACTCAGGGAACTTTTCCTGGTGCTGCAGGAGTCTCTTCTAACACTGTTTAGGAAATACAGTAAGAAAAGAGAATAGATTTTTAAAGTCTATGATACATCATGAAAAACCTAGAAAAGTCATCCAGTACTTCTTTAAATGTTTTATATGAAACTGGAGGATTCTTTTTTGAATGAACTCATTTACACTTAAGCAAAAGTTCATTTCAAAACATTTTAGGGCCAAGGATTTAGCTCAGTGGCACCACGGCTGCCTTGCAAGTGCGAAGTCCTGAATTCGATCCCGGGCACGGCAGAAAAAAAAAAAAAAAAAAAAAAAAAAATCTGCCATCAAGGTATGGAAATCACTACACAAATTATTAAGTAGTTTAATTTTTCTGTTCTAAAAACATAAGGCTTAAAAACTTTCATTTTAACTTCTACTTACCTTTCCTAATATAAAACTCTCCCTTAAATATTTTTATTATAATTTTTAAATGTAACAGTACAGCTCTCATTTGTACAAATCATTTTATAGTTTATATTTAGCTACAGTTTCATCTGCTTCCTGATAGAAATTCTGCGTCAGAAAGGATTTTTGAGATAATTTGATACTTTCCCCCCTTGAATGAAGAGGACTAAGGTCTACAGGGGTTGGATCACACACTGTTAAAGAATATAACAGCCAAGCTAAAAATAACCCAGCCTCTTCTAGTTTATTGCTTAAGACTAATTTTCACTTCAATCTTATATTCATTAACTAGGAGATTTAAAATGTTAAATTGTAGCCTGACTTAAGGGAAGTGGTAAATTTAGTGCCTAAATGTTACGTCTTGTTAGGAAGTCTCCCAGTATCATTTTACTTAGTAGGGGCCATAGGAAGGACCCGGCCCTGTGTGGCCGGTTATGTCTGCAGGACCACCCACGTGGCCACATCTCAAATGCAGCATAAGCAGAGAACCCAAACCTCTTCATGTGTGCATCTACTCTTAGGCAGCAATGGTGCTACATGTCATATCTTCATTTCCAAAAAGGTCACTGCCTTTGACAGCAAAGCTAAAAAATTAAGAAAGTAGGTCTAGAATTTTGGCCTTTCTTGGAATGACAAAAATTTGATTGACCAATAAGGGTACAGGTGCAGGAAGGTGACTGCTTTAGGAAAAAATGGAGGTTTTAGTTGAGCTACATTTTTGGATCACTAGGAAACCCTTCAGTAGTTTTGATCTGCCAGACCATAAGCTCTATGAGGACAAAAGCAGTCTCATTATTCTTTGTTTCCTTGTGGCCTACGAGGTTTCCAGTATGGATCAGCACTCAGCAAATTATGTTAAATGTGATGGCAGAGCAGATGGGAAGGGTGATCTCCAGAGAACAGGGGTGGCTGGAACTAAAACACAATGAATAGGAGCTCTGCACTGGCCCTGAATCATCCTACAGATATACAGGAGTTCTATAGCTATTGTATAACTTTAATAAAGAAATGATGAAATTGATTTTATATTTCCTGAAAGCTGCAGGACTATACATCTGAGAAAGAGGTCTCACATACATTTCAGAAAATATTGTTGGAATGTAACATAACTGAGTAAAAAATTAATTTATGTTCTTATTTCTTAGGAAAAAAAAAAAGGGTGGAGAAAAAAGAAAAAAGTCGAAGGTAAAAACTCTCAAAAAGACTCCCTAGCTCCATATCAAGCAATAGGTCAAAAGCTGAGGTTACAAGAGTTTCAAGATTTCTTATGAGAAACTCTAGTAAGAAAAATACAATGAGTCATTTCATAATAATGCCCTTTCTTCCCAAAGTACACATCATAATTTCCACATCCCTAGCACATGGGCAGTCAGTGCAGAGCTACTGCAACATGGAGGACCCCCCCCCTCTGTCCCTAAGTGAAGAAAGGAACATGGACAGTGGGAAACAGACCTTCTGGGTGTGGCCCGTAATGGGGACAGTGCGGCTGTACTCACTCTGCCCTGACAGGGAGGGGGGCTTTTCCTTCGTATGGCCTGATTGGGACAGCAGTTCTTTTGCGCACCTACTTCAAAGAACTGGGCAGCATGTGCAGCTGCTTCCCTGTCTGCAGACCAGAAGAATCCCTCAGCAGTAAACATTTGGAGATGTTCCAGGTTTCCTAACAAACTGTCATTTAAGTAGGCACTGATGGGGACAGGGATTTAGCTCAGTGGCACCGGGCCTGCCTGGCAAGCGCAAGGTCCTGCCTGAGTTCGATCCCTGATACAAACAAAACAAAACGAAACAAAACAAAAAGACACTGATGGTCCAACTGAGGGAGAAAGGATGATGGAAAAGGAATCTGTTCCACTTGGAGCTACGGCAAAAGTACCTGTTTAGGTACTAGCTGACTTCTGGGGCATAAAAGAGTGAGCGCAACAATACAGAAAAAAACCAAAGCTCGCTGCCAATACAGCTTCTTGGGAGCCAAGTTCCCAGGCCTTGCCCGCTCAGAAGTTCCCTGAGAATTACTACCAAGAAAGTGGGATGGATCCTGCCCTCTGTGGAATATCAATGTAAACTGACAAAAGAATTCAAAGCTTGAAGGAAGTTCAAGGAATACTCAGGGGAGCCTGAGATCATGGGCTCTGGGCATTTGAAGTATATTAGAAGGAGTAGGAATGTCTTCTCTGGGCAGAAGGCAGTTCTGGGAGGAAGGAAGGATTGTTTATTGATCCTTAAATAGCCAAGCGAGGCAGGCTCTGCAGAGGTTGAATATCAATGAGGATTAAGCTCCAAGACACTTCTGGTGGGAGAATGGTGTAGCTGGCTTGATGGGCAATTTGTGGAAAGGGCCCTTACTTGACTTGGGTATTTTGTAACTTCCAGGGACAAGGAGCTTGAGGAAGTAGTGAACGATGAGGGGTGTTCATGTGAGCAGGTGAGGTGGGAGGGCAAGGGGACCTTACCTCTGGTGATTAGCTGAACAGTATGGACTGTTGTGTTGACTCCCGTTTCTGGGAAAATGTGTAGGTGGAGGGGAAGCCAGAGTTGGGCAAAACAAGCAACTGAAGATACAGACTAACCACAACCACAAAGAACCCCCACAACAAACTTCATGATGTAAGTGGCATGTTATTGTTAAAACTCAGGACATTTTTAAGATAAGGATACTGAACTCACTCATGTAAAAGGCTCAAACTGTTCAACTTTTCAGAATGAAAAATTTCAACATTTACTAAGTTCTCCAGATTGTAGGATTTATATAACAGCAGCTATAGAAAACTTACATCTGTGTAAATACCAGGGCCCCTAAAGAGGATAACATTTCATTTGTATTGATATGTTTTAATTTTCCCTTAATAATTTAAGATACTAAGTATTAACATTACATATCAGATATGAGATCTAATTTCTCCTGTATTCCATGTGAAAGCAGTATTACTTTTCGGTACAGCTAATTGTTATTTTCTTAAATCACAAATCAATTTCTTCCTTGCTCTAAAATCAGTTAAATGATATTATATATTAAAATTGTATGCCAACAGCATTACTGCTTCAGTATTTACTAACTTAATACAAGAACTCAGCATCCTGGAAATAGTTCAAAGGATTAAATAGCTTTTAATACTTTTTGCTAAGTTTACTACATTTGTTTCATTAGTGTGCATATATAGCGTTTTTAATGGGTAGAGAAGAGGAAATACATGGATCACAATGGCTTTTCTGGAGAGGTTCTCTGCTCAAAATAAACCAATCTAATATGAGTTTTTTATCTTGATTTTTGCTGGGTCTTTATTCCCTCTTACCATCTTTCAAACACCCATATTCTTATATATTTATTTAAGATGAGATAAGAAGCTGCTTTTAGACTATTGGCCAAACTTCAAATTTCATATGAATTAAAAAACAATAAACATTAGGGATAATCTAATATTGCCATAAATTATTTTACAAGCATAATAATCATGTCATACTTCATGGCTGGGTGAATATTTGCTAATATTTTTCTATTTGTCAAAGTTTCAAGTCTTATACCCCACAACATTAAAGTTTATGCAGAGGTAAGCAGTTTGTAACTGCAGCAAGACACACACAAAATAAGGAGACTGCCAGCAGTGCATGTAAAACTTAAAAGACAAAGCCATGAGCTACACTGCTCTGAGTAAGGATTTTGCTTTTTTCTGAATAGGGAACTCCAAAGACACCAAATCAGGCCCTGATGCAGTTAGAGTGTGTGTGTGTGTGTGTGTGTGTGTGTGTGTGTGTGTGTGTGTGTGTGTGTGTGTGTGTGTGTGAATATGAACCACATCAACTATGAAATAATACACTGGGGAGAAGTCCTGGTTCTCATGAAAATGATTCATCACAGTATAAAATCCTAAAGCCACTGACCCTAATGAAAACTCCCAGTGGAAACATGTAGATTCTGCTTTGTGTCATTTTAATATTACCATAAGCACCAGCACCATTATTGGTGATGTGTTGCTTTCTCATTTAAAACTGATAGTGAAAAGATACTGCTATCAAACTAAGTATTCAAGAGGTCCCTGTGGAAAAGAGAAACGAAAAAAAATCTCATTGCATTAGTTAATCAATTTTAGCACACAAAATAGGTAAGACATTTTGATCCCTTAAAATAGGCACTGAATACTCAACAGCTAAATGACAGCAGCAGACACTTTCTACCCCTTTTTAAAAATAATAACACCGAATTTAAGCACATTCGTTTGTTTAGAGAATTTTTTCATACATACCAATTCTTTCTGATTTGCCAAGATGTCAGGACTGACTGCAAGCTGACTAACACAGACCACAAATTGGTCAGGGAATACACGGAATTCTATACAAAATTAAGAAAATCAAGTTACCATGAAGGAATCAAAAGAACTATGAACACAGAAATGTTTATTCTTAGATTTCTTTGTTCATTTTACCCTGTGCAGTATGCATGCATGCAGATATGAGACTTGCGTCTCTTCTCCCCCTCTTCTCCTTCCTCCTTCCAGTGTTTGGAATCAATAGGGCAGCGTAAGCACAAGGCCCCAGGGACAGCAAGGAAGCTGTAAATAGGTCCACCTGGACCCCGGGATCATTCTAGCACAGGGAACCAGGGCAAGGCCTCCACAGCCTCCTTTGTGTCAGTTTGCAGTTTTCCCTTTAGAACTTGCATTTGGGAAATAGTATCAGTGTTTTCTAATGAGTGCACACTTATAAAGAGGAAGAGTGTTAGATAAAAATGTAAAAATGTGATCTACCAGTCTTTCTCTAGTGTTTTATTATCATCTCCCTGGACAGCTGGTCTTAGCGAGGTCCTCTACACTACAGGGCAAACTCCCAGGCTAGAACTAGCTTTGAAAACAGCATCTTCTCTTAGGAATTAGTGATCAGACTACTAAGGGAATAGTTAAATATGCAATATAGAGGTGATAGAGCTATCCCATAGTCTGTAATGATCTTATTATTTCAGCCTCTTAAAAGCAAAACCAGTCTTCTGGGTGGGAAAGGCTAATGAATCACAGAACGGGACTCAACAGTCAACAAAGGGAAGGCAAAACAGCAGCAGCACAATCTGGATCTTCCCTCGGATCACAACCCATCAGTTCTTCCATCCATCTATCATCTGTCCACCCCCACCCAGCCCTGGGCGACATCCCAGGCGCAGTTTAGTGGATGCTAACAGTATTGGTTAGGAGTGGATGGGGAGGACCCTCTCCTCCTTTCTTAATACTTGGTGCACTGGTTGAATATCTTTATAACGGACATGTACCCTATTTGTGTTTTCTAAAAGACAAAACTCCCCTTTATACATAGTCAGTTTTTAAGAGATAGGTACTATGAATTAGGTAAATGAATCTTTTTACAGACCCTGCGTACAGGACCCTGAGCAGACAATGTGTATCAATTTGCTACAGTGGGAAGCCAAGCACAAGGTGGGAGTTATGAAGACAATTTAAACACAGTTAACTCCTTACAACAGTCAGCTATATTAAATCATACCAAAAGGCCTACAGAGCTGACGTTCCAGTAACAGCTCTCTCCAGATCCCTGAACTTATTGCTATCTCTTCAGAGGTCATTTTCTTTATTCCAGTCCATCCAACTCAGCACACAACTTGATGGTCCTAAAAAGCAGCTGCACTCATCCTGCTCAAAAGCCTGTCATGGCTCCCCCGCCCCCAAAACCAGGGCCCAACCTGCTGGTCTGATCTTACTCCCTACTCATTCTCCTTATTCAGAAAGCCCTCAATTTCAGGTGCAGGTCTGGGTCTAAACTCTGACCACCCGCCCCAGATATTACATCTGGCTTGGTGATGACAGAAGGCCTTTGAAAAGCCAGAACAAAATTATCAAAGCAGCTAATATTATTCAAAAGTTCCTAAAATATATTATCGAGATACACAGTAAGTGGTCCATTTCCTTCTTTATGGAAAGTGAAACCGAGCCACCAAATTCATTGTCTACACCCCACAATAAAAAAACTGAACTATAAACAGTTCATTAGTGGATACAAGTTGGAATTCAAAATTACTAATTTCATCAAATAATCCTTCTGTTTTGTATTTCTATTTTTTTCTCTGAAAAGTAAAGATGACAGATTTTGAAAATTTTGATGCCAGGTACTGTATTAACAGAAAGCTATGTCTGTCTTGGTCTTAATTAAGGGTTGTATTATTTTAATATTTAAGTAAAGATTTAGCCAATGGCAGTCGCTACCAGGAAGGGTAGCTAAAAGGTGTTCTAACAGATACAAAGACAGCTGGCTTATTTTACAAGAAGTGAACAAAGGGGAAGGCCCCTAAGAGGATAACAACATTTGGGGCTAAGGAAGCACAGATAAAATCATGAAGTGTTCACAAGCAAACCTCTATATAGTTAATTTTTAAAGTCCCTGTTTCATGTCTTAAACACACACTGACCCTGTCCTGTCTAAGGGGACTGAGCTAAGTTTTCCTTCCAATACTCAGATCTACTTGGAGAACAGGCGTTAGCTTGTGACTTTATTGTTGTGCGCTCCACAGGTTCGGCATCATCTCTCAGTGACATCTTAACTTGGGGAAATGTGAGGTGGGAACTGGCCTCGTCTCACACCTACAGAAGGCTCCAGTGGCTCTGCGATGGGAAAGTGCTTTCTCTTGCGCACACCTGCTCTGTATCCCAGGACCTTGGTGTTTGTTCACTGACAGCGATGGAGTGATTCCGAGTTCAGCATGCTCTCCCCACTATTCTCAGATACAGAGGCAGCAACAGTGTAAGTTGGAAGAAAAATCACAAGTGTTTGGAAATATTCAGTGACAGGAACACAATGAAATAAACAGGAATTTCTATTCCTTTTCACCCCTTCTCTAGGGTCAGTGGATTATGTGAAATGCTGGATAATCCAAGAAACAGGTTCTTACTAGTATTTTGTGAGCTCCCAATGCAGCGAAGGTGTATCCCCCTCTTGAGGAAATAGGCTGTGATCTGAAAGCCATAACCTGTAAAATGAAAACAGCATGATTATATTATGAGCTTAGTAGTCACTGAGTCCTAGGGGCCCAGATCAGAGCCTGACATTAAATATGTATTCAATAATTATTTAACAGTAATTACTTAATAAGTGAAAGAATAAAAGAACCAACAGAGAGCATCACCTGAGGGGAAGGGATGAACATTACTATGCTGGCTATTTCAGGAGCTCGGCCATAACACCTGGTACAATCTCTAGTCCCTGAAGAGGCTCAGTCATATCATCTGTAAAGCGGAATAAATGAGGGAGGAGGTCTAACATAACTGAAAATTGGGGCTCTCGGGGGAACAATTAACTCAGTGTGAACTGATGTATAATCTTGGCCACCTTCTGACATTCATTATTTATTATCACAAATGAAACTATTTTGCCTGTAAATAAGTTATTTTCTAATTCCCTAATTTAAGTACAGCCAGTCTTTTAACAAGATATAAAGAGACACAGCAGAAGTAAAAAAAAAGTCCCCAATCCACCTTAAGGGAGCATTAACTGTCGGCAAGTGTGTGAGACACCTAGAGTTCCCTGTGCTAGTGACAGCAGGACAAATTGCTACAGCCACTTCGAAAACCTACCTGCATCTGTAAAGCTGAATTTAAGTGTTCATTATAGCATTCTTCACAATATACTCGAATTAGAATTGATGTAAAGATTAAAAATGGGAAGACACACATAGTGAAGTAAGTACCACACTGCCTCTGTGATAATATGTTCTGTAACTAGAGGCAGTAATAATCAGTAAGCGACACAATCATAACGTTAAAGAGGTTCGAGAGAGTAGACCTCATCGGAGAAAGGCAGAGGCAATACCACTGATCTTATAGGGTGGTAAGAGAATTTCAGATAATTCATAGTACCAGCCTAATTCCTTTGTCCCTCTCTTCTTCTCCAAGTCCTACCCATGCAAAGTCCATGGAGATGACTGCTACCAAACTGTGTCCTTAGAATACAACTAAAGAAGCTTCCACTTGCACTGTCAGTACCCTTCTGATGCCCCTTGAGACCCAGGATACCAGAGCACACATTCTGTTCTGTCTAAACAAGCTGTGGCTGTGACCGCACAACTGCTTCAGTCACGCAGATTGTGAAATAACAGTGACATCTATGAAAGGATAATCTCCAGATTTACTGAGATGAAATACATTTTTTCTCAACACACTTGAAAATGGACTGCATTTCAGTCATGTGGCTTTCTTCTGCTTGAAATGTGAAGCAAAATAGGCACACCATTGGTATTACTCGGAGTGCTTTCAACAAATATTTCATCGCTTAGGTCAGAGGGAATGGAAGCTCCTTCTACATCTGTTTATTTGTCCTACTGTTGGGTGGGGGTGGTGTGTAAGAGAAGAATCCTTAGCAATTTGGAACTTACAGACACAGCAAAATTTAGACATTATTTTTCACATTACTGAGTCTTCCAAAAAAATGGAACAAAAAAGTGCAATTGCCTAATGAACAGTAAAGTCCCAAAATGTCTCCTTTTTCTATAGAAAGAGTTGTATAGATAGATTCCAAGCAATTTATTGCTGAAGTTACAAGAACTGAGTTTATTAAAACCTAGCCCCCTACAGCTGTATTCTCTACAAGATAAGATTATGTTAAAGGAATCTTTTCTAAACTAGCATCTTTGTTATTAGTGGTTTCAGTGAATAACTTGGCCTCATGGCACCTATAAGCAAAAGGGCAAGTTTAACATGTAAAACAAGATCTGCACCTGCTTAATTCAAATTCCAGTGGTCATATGTAACTTGATTGTTTAAAGAGAAACTTGAGAGATTAAACACCAAAGGTACTGTTGTCAGTTCTTATGACAAACCAAAATTGATATGTAAACAGAAAATTATTGCTGCTGAAACATACAGAACTGAAATGGTTTATAGAGATGTAATTCATTTATCCATAGGTAACTAGTGTTGATAAAGACTGCATTCTTACTTTTGCTATTACTGAAATAGACTTTATAGGGCTCAACAGACCACTAAGATTTTTGTACACAGCCAGGACTAGAACAAAGTTCTACTGTTCTCTAAAGCTAAACAGCAATTTGGCAAAGAATTCAGGAGCCCTTCTGCTTTCCCTATGTAGGCAATAGCTCCTAGCTTGCTACTCTTGTGTTGTAAATGCAGAAAACCTCAGTCTGTTGGAGACTAGGGGAAAATAAGCCAAAGAAAATCATAAAGCAATAATATTTTTATTTGAAAATGATCTGGCAGCAGTATTCTGGAATTAGGAGGCACTTGCAAATCACACTGCAGTAAGCCTGTTTTCTTGCTGACTACTTCGGTCCTCCACAATCTGAGACTATCATCTGTAGACCCAGGAAGGCACTGGGGTTAGAAAAGGAATGGCTTTGTAATGGAAGCATTTTTCTACCAGGATTCTCTGAGTATATATATTTCTGGAAATGACTTACTTTCATTTCTAAATTGCTAAATTTCATGTGATCTAGTACCAGCAAAGCCATCTTCTCCCCTGGCCTCTAAGAGCCCCCAAAGTTTCCAGTTCCCGAGCCACTTGCTGCATTCTTACAATGTAAAAAGCTGTTGTATCTCTCTATCTTTCCACACACAGTCTTCAGACCCCCACTCAAGACTGAAATGATGTTCTGTTACCAATTAACCTTCTTCTGGCTCACCTCATTGTTCACCAAAAACTAATTCTCTAAGGGGAAAAAAATGGAAGGGTGATCGTTAAGATCATTAATGTTTATGAAAGCAAGAAAGGGCAACCAAGTGTTCTACTATTATTTCCTACTCTGCATAAAGTAACTGCTCCAAAATGGCTTTATTAGAAATTTGAGACTTCATTAATATTAAGGCAATAATTACAACAACACCAAATCAAACATGAGTTGTACAGAATCCACCTTGGATTAGCAAGCCATGCAGAACAGTTTAAGTAGTACCATGCTCTAATGAGGTATGTATTTTATGGGACTGCTCATTTATTTGAGTTATTGTAGTTCATACTCCCAAGGCACTGACAGCAAATGTGCAAGACAGAGTTTTCAGTGCAAATCTGTCCAGCCTCCCTTGTGTTCCAGTGGACTCATAATCAAAGTGACCTGAGCTTCCCCATGGTTGCCAAGGGGATTGTGTGGCATGGTACCTAAAGGCGGAGCCCCTCTCCCATAGTCACAGTGAGATCACACACAGGGAGCCTGAGGAAATCCTACATGTGGCTCAGTAAGGCCCTAAGATGGCCCAGCAGGTGAGCACCACCTACATGGCTCATCTCTATCAATGCCTTCTCTCAAACAGCAAGGCAGGCTCTAGAGGACCTCCTGTGTCCTCGGCACTTCTTCTCGTATGAAGACAACCTATTTGTAAGCATCATCACTCACATCATTATGAAAAATTTATACCTAAAAACTCATTATGTACATTCTATAGTGGCCAATCTCTTGCCATATTTCATATATGTATTTGCTAACCTAAAAAAACTAGAAATCATAAAAATTTACTCCTATGAGTGCAAACTCCCAAACAATGAGATTCACCTGCATTATCAAATGCTATAGGCTGAGCATCCCTAACTTGAAAATCTAAACTATCCTGAAGTCTAAAACTTCTGGAGCATTGATAGGATGTTCAAAACTTTCATATTTTGGAGCATTTATGATTTTCTTAAAATTAGGGATGCTTAACCAGTAAAGTCTATGTAAATATTCCAAAATCCCAAAACTCTGAAATCTAAAACACTTGAGTCCCAAGCATTTCAGATAAGGGATATTCAACCTGTATTATGGCAGCTAAGCATAACATTATTGCTCAAATAATGAATCCATATTTAAATGTCTCCAACTGTTTCAAAATGTTCACCACTTGTTTTTCCTCAAAGTAGAATTTAGCCAAAAATCATGCATTTTAATGGCTATATGCTTATATCTCCTCTTTTAATCTTAATCTCTCTCCCCTTTTTTCCACAACTCTGAACTTTTAAATCAATTAGGCTAAGTCATCTTAATGGAATGAGCCTAATCATTGATTTGAACTTCAAAAAAAAAATCTCAATTACCTAAATATAAATTTTCAATCTGCATGCTTGCTTATGCATGCATGCATGTATGTATGGTATGTATGGTGTGTAGCTCAGGCTGGCCTCAAACTCATCCAAAATCCTCCTGCCTCAACCTCCTAAGTGCTGGGATTACAGGCCTGTGCCACCAGGCCTGAGGCCTGGGAACTCTTTTAGATGCTAGTGAGTTAACAATCCTGACTTCTCATTTAACTGCTATAGGAAACTACAGGTTCAAATTAAAGCTATAATCACAATTCAACATTTGGAACACAGATGACTTGGAGATTTAGCTCTACAAATAATTTCAAAGAAGTGAAATCTTAAATTTGTAGATGCTTAGAATTCTGGCAAAGACAAACTTACCTTAGGAGGTTTGCTAGTGGTCTCTTATTTGTTTTAAAAATGGGCTCCTGGTTGCAACCACACTACTCACTATGCGCTAACACAGAAGTAGCTTTATATGCAGCACGTGCCAGTTCAGTCAGTGACTATTCCCCGTATGAAGCTGTGAGTTACTTTTCATTCTCCATCTGAAAATGTGGCCAAAATTTAAGAAGAGAGGAAGAAAGAGGGTGATCTCTACCATACACTAATAATGCCTGGGGTACTAGATTAGACAAGGAACATATCACAGAAAAGATGGAGAATATACGTGTGTTACACCTGTTTCACTCAGAGGGAAAAAATAAAGTTATAAACTCATTTCTTCCAATACTGCATTCATTTAGAAAGTTATACCTGTCCTTACTGGAAGGATAGAAAGGGTAGAGAAGTCATGAGACCATACTGCCACTTAAAATATAAAAGACAGGCTAGGACTGAGATAGGGACTTCAGAAAAGCTTCAATGGGGCCTTCTGAAATGTGTTATAGGCCTACACTTGAGCTTTACTAATATTGCTGATGATGGGTGGGGCTGGAGAAACAAGCTGTTTTATGAGAACTAAAAACC